TTAAGTAAAGATAAACACACTTCTTTAACTCGGTGCCTGTGACCTTTGTGCCGATCTATCCACAGCAATGCACCATCCAACCTGGCTTTGAATGCTTCCAGCGATGGGGCATGCACAGTGACCCTGGGGAACCTGTCTCTGGCCTCACTACCCTCTGAGTGAAAAATTTCCTCCTAGCATCTAATCTGAATTTCCTTCTATTAGTTTAAGACCATTACCTTATCACTATCTGTACATGTAAGAAATCGGTCACTCTCCTGTTTATAAGCTCCCTTTTAGCAATGAAAGGTCACAGTAGTTCTCCCTGGAACCTTCTCCAGACTGAACAAGCCCAACTACCTCAGACTGCCATTGTAGGAGAGGTGCTCCAGCCCTCCAGTCATCTTAGTGGCCCTCCTCTGGACCTGCTCCAACAGCTCCATGCCCTTCTTCTGCTGGGGGCCCCAGGTCAGGATGCTATTTTCCAGACAGGGCCTGAGCAAAGGAGAACAGTATTCCCCCCCTCCTTGATCGCTCATGTCCTGCTTTTCATTCATCAGAACCCCCAGGTCCTTCTCTACAAGGCTGCTCTCCACAAGATCTTCTCCCAGTCTGTACTCACATCTGGGATTACAGTGATCCAGGTGCAACACCTTGCACTTGACTTTGTTGAACCTCACTAGGTTCATGTGAACCCACTTTTCAAACTTGTTGAGGTCCTTCTAGAGGGCATCCCTTCTACTGTATCAACTGCATCGTGCAGCTTGATGTCAGCAAACTTGCTGAGGGTGCACTCAATCTCACTGTCTGGGTTACTGATAATGATCTTAAAGAATACGAATCTCAAGATAGACCACTGGGAGACACCACTCATTACCATTCTTCACTTATATGTAGAGCTGTTGATCAGAACTCTCTAGCTGTGACCATGTAACCAATTCCTTATCCATTAAACAGTCCAGTCTTTCCAATTTAGAGATTACAGTTATTCGTAGCTATAGTGGCCATTGTAAACCCGTGTTAAGTTTTCAGCCAGACATTTGAAGACAAAGCAAATGTCTTTCCATGCTAGTAGTCTTCACATGGGCTCAGAAACTGTGAAAATAAAGAAAAATAATCATCTATTACAGGTAATAAACTTCTGTATATCATACTAGTTCAGAAAGCTGAGGATTATGAAGGTAAACAACAGGTTTTTTTGTTCAGATAAGATTACACTTGGAAGAATTAGGCTTAACCTAGATCAAAGAATAGGGAGACTGAAAGACCTTATGAGAGTACCCTACTTCAGAAAGTAACCTTCAGGAGCCCTGTATCCCTTAGCAGTCTGCTTCCCCAATCCCAAACTTAGTGGGGATATTTAATATCAGATGTTAAGTCCTTCTCTAGCATCTGATTTGTGTGTTTTGAAGTGATGAATTGCAAAATTATCTGCACATCACAGGGAAAGCTGGGTTGTCTTTCGTATTTGTTCATATTAAAGAAAACATGCAATATCATCTAGACACAGAAGAGGGAGCATTTCATCATGTTATTGTTCCTTTTTTTATTTTTTTTTTTCTTTTTGTTCTTTTTTTTTTCTTTCTGTTTTTGGGCAAACATGATTCTATATTTAAAATTCTTTTCCCTTGAGATGCATCTGATGAACAACAGCTCTTAAATATCACCAGGATGATCTTGGGCATACAGATTGGCTGATAAAGTGTATCTCTGACTGCTGTCTGAGAAGCCATGATCCCACATCATGCTTTTTGCTCTTTTTCTGCAGATACGTTGGTGAGTATGTTATACCCATGTTATAAGTCTTCTACTGATAGGAATTTAATAGGCAAAAGCAAGAGTGCATGTTCACAGGGAAGGTTCATGGGAAAACCCTGCACAGAAAGCCACGGAGGCACTAGCACCTCCAACTTGAATGCTGCAGCTTTGGCTTCTCCTATGAGTGGTGGAAGGAAGGTGCTCTAGGAGGAATGAGGGAAGCTTCCAGACTAGACTTACGCAGCTGCCCTCTGTACCATCTATCTACCAAATGTTTAGATACCAAAGCAGAGATGCGCCTCGTCTCCCTGCTCAAGTGCCAAGGAACTGGGAGCAAGCCTGAGATTGACCAATTCAACACAAAGGCACTGAGTTCATATAGCTCAGTGCTCAGTATGGTGACTTCAGTAGGTGAATGGTCCTCTGGCCACAGTGCCCTGTAGGCACCATTTTTCCCAAGTGCATTCAATAGGTCTATTTTTTGGTGTTTTGTGTCAAAAAGGAACTCTATGATTAGTATTCATACCACATACTGTTTTAAACTTAAACTCAGCATGAAAGAGAAAAGGATCTTGAAATATCAGGGCTGCTAACACATCTTTTATTTGAAATCTTGCTATCTTGATTTGAGGTGTAGACAGTGGCAGCCATCTTAAGCAGTAGAACTAGGCACTGCCATTTCCCCATTTTGGACTCTGCTCCACAATGTCCCATTCTTAGATCCAAAATTTTCATTAAGTGCCCACCTGAGCCCACAAGAATAAACAGAATGAAAGTACGGCATTGCCAAAATGAATGTAGCTGTGGGAGGATGACCTCCTCTTCTCCCTCTCTTACCATCCCTCCTTCTATAAGTACCTGCTTGGCTACTGCTACATGATATAACCCGGTAGAGATCACCCTAAGCTGAGTTTTGTCTGTGCTGAAGACAACTCTACATTCTTCAGTAGCAAATCAGAGCAAAGTCAACTGCACTCTTCATAGAATCACTGAATCATAGAATCATAGAATAGCCCAGGTTGGAAGGAATCCCAAGGGTCATCAAGCTCCAACCCCATTACTGCAGGCAGGGCCACCAACTTCCTTAGTTAATACTAGATCAGGCTGCCAGAGCCCCATCCAACGTGGCCTTGAACACCTTCAGGGATGGGGCATCCACGGCCTCTCTGGGCAGCCTGCTCCAGCACCTCACCACTCTCTTGGTATAGAACTTAAAGAACACTTCAGAGACGCTGGTCCAAAAAGTCCCCTTACAAGCAGCCTGCCAGCAGTACCTCAGAGCATGACATCGTGCTCTCCATGGCCAATCCTGCTAACTTAAACCCATGCAGGAGGACTGTAGCAGCTAGAAGAGGATTCTCAGACTCAGTTACTCACCCATAGTCCAGCAGCAGTTCAGGCATTTACTGTGGAGTGTTGTGCTCTCAGGTACTTTTGTCTTTCCTTGTGTGTTCCATGGCTGCCAATTTAAACACATGCTGGGAGCCTCCAGGTAACTAGCCCAGTATACACAACACAGTATTCATAAATTATGACAAAGCACCTCCATAATTTCATTGTATGGTTGCATTTTACCATCAGATCCCTCTTCATAACAACGGAATCCTCTGCACGAGCTCATAATTGCATCACCAAAATGCAGTCCCATCCCTGGAGGTGTTCAAGGCCAGGTTGGATGGGCCCTGGGGAGCCTGGTCTAGTTTTAGATATGGAAGTTGATGGCCCTGCCTGCAGCAGGGGAGGCTGGGGCTTGATGAACTGTGAGGTCCCTTCCAACCCAAGCCATTCTATGATGATTCTATAAACACAGCCACCTCTGGTCTTTCCAGTTGGCACACATTGTACCCTGAAATTACATGAGAGACAATGATTTAACCCAAAAAAAGCCCACATATGAATGCAATACAGAATCACTTGCATCCAACATGCTACAAATTTATGTCTTGTCCTTAATATTTTAGACTGAAGCACATCACTCAGTTCAACCACTCAGAAAAAAAAGATGGATTTGATTGACTGGGAATTCAAGACAAAATGTCAGGAGGTCAGGCATGTCAAGCTTTAGATACACGCTGGTCCTGAGCCACTGCCAGCCACATGCCAGTGAGCATTAGAGCATGGTGTTCTCTTCCCAGCCCACACTCTTCTGAGTCATCTATTGCTTCTTTTGTTTTCTTCCTATTCCCCTTCTTTCTGCCTTTTGTAAATGTGTGACAGGAGACTCCTGTGGAAACTCCTTTTACATTGTATCTTTTATTTATTTTTATTTTAGTTATATAAGCTAATGTGTTTTTTCTGTTTGTTTTTTCATTTTTATTTTTAGGTAGGCCAGCCTCTCTAAAGAGGAGAGCATGTCCTTTGTTTTCCTATGTTAGTTTTCTAGGTGCTCCAAAATGCAGACCCAGGCCTATTACAAATTTTCTCTACTGCATCCCACAGTGCATTAAGTGATAGGGCAGTCACCCTCACAGACATTCAGCCAGGAGCAAAACAGATATTATTGCTAAAACACAGCACTAGAAGTACTTACTGCCCTAGATTCAGACCCACCGTAGAGAAAATCTGAATGCTGTTGCTATATGTCACTGCAGCAATACTTCCATACACTGCTTTCTTCTTCTATGTGGTCAGAGAGCTGACAGGCACCCTAACTTGAGGGGTTATCAAGTGAACTGCACTAAAGATTCATCTCAGACATGCAGACCACACAATTCCTAGCACTTTGCTTCTTCCAGGTGAGGCAAAAAGCAGAACTGCAGTCACTGAAACAGAGGCAGCAGCTAACTGCAATAGGCAGTCATCCCTCACATGTGCCAGCTCATGCTTGTTCTCAGACAGAAGACTTGTTGCTTGATGGATGCAATATTTGATCAAATGCCATCAGACATGGACAGCAGCTCCCATACAGCTGTCTGGTTTCATGCATCTGTCCCGGGGCTGGAGGTAACCGGCTGCCAGAGCTGAGAGTTGTTACCCTACTAGATCATTTCTCTTAACTCCTTAATGCAGGTTGGTTGCATACAGACTTTTGTTCTCCTCCCACACTAAGTTCTCTTGCTTCATTATACAGGTGCTCACTAATGCTCATCACTGCATATTATTAATACATTCAAAATAAAGGAATGAGGTTTAGCCCACGTGAAGAGCACAGTACCAGCAAACTGCTGGTAAAGCACTCCAAACATTTACATAACTTTTGCTATAAACCTGTCCTTCACAATCAGAGTAACAATCCCATGGAGACCAGATGGAACAAATTTTACCTGCAAAGGTGCTGCCTGTGAGTTACAGTTCCCTTAGGGTTCTTGCTATCATGGCTCATCAGGGATTGCACCAGTTTTCTCACATGGATCATCTACTGGAGTCTGCTGTGGCAAAACACAGTACCCAGGTGAGTGTTAAGCAGCTTCACATTACATTCAACAGCTGGCAGTGTATGTGACAAGAAAGCAGCTTGCACAGAGAGATGGCACTGGACACATCTAGCCCAGAAATACAGGAAAATTGTAATTTTATTTGCATTCAGGTGTGCAGCCTCTCTACTGAAGCACACAAATTAGAACTTGGCCCTGATAGAACTTATTACTCAGTAACAGCACAGATCATAGCATCACAGGTCCACAGAACCATTTGGGTTAGAAGGAAACTTGAATATCATCCAGTTGCAGATCCTCTGAAATGAGCAGGGACACTTCCCACTGGATCAGGTTGCCCAAAGGCCAAGGTTCAACCTGGCCTTGGACAATTCCAAGGATAGGGTATCTCTTTCTCTTATAGCTTTCTCGTATAGCCTTCTCTTCTCCAGGCTGAACAAGCCCAGCTCCCTCAGCCTTTCTTCATAGGAGAGGTACTCCAGCCCTTTGATCATTTTCTTAGCTTTCCTCTGGACCCGTTCTAACAGCTCCATACTTTTCTAGCCCTGGGGTCCCAGGCCTGGACATAGTATTCCATATAGGGCTTCACAGGGGCAGAACAGAGGGGGACAACCATTTCCCTCTCCCTCCTGGCCACTTCTCCTTTGATGCGCCCAGAATACTTTGGCCTTCTGGGCTGCAAGTGCACACTGCTGGCTCATGTCCAGTTTTTCATCTGCCAACAGATCTAAATCCTTCTCCACAGACTGTCCTCAATTGACTCATCACCCAGTCTGTATTTGTGGTTGGGATTGCCTCTTATCACTGCTGAATTTCATAAGTTTTGTGTAGGCCCTCCTTTCAAGTCTTCCATGATCCTTCTGGATGGCATCCTTTCCCTCTAGTATGTCAATCACACCACTCAGCTTAGTGTCATCAGAAAACTTGCAGAGAGTGCACTCAATCCTACTGTCCACAATCCCAACAAAGACATTAGATAATATCAGTCCCAATACTGACTGTCCTGTTAGCAGTTGGGATGGAATTAATTTTCTTCCTAGTAGCTGGTATGGTGCTGTATCTTGAATTTAGAATAATATTGGTTACACACTGTTGTTTTAGTTGTTGCTGAGCAGTGCTTACACAAAGCCAAGGATATTTCAGTTTCTCGTGTTTCCCTGTCAATGAGGAGGCTGCAGTTGCACAGAGCTGGAAGGGGACACAGCCAAGATGAGTGACCAAAGGGAAGGGTGGCCAACAGGAAATTCTATACCATTTGATGCCATGCCCAGTAGTAAACCTGGGGGGAGTTGATTGGTGGTAGGGAGCTGCTGCTTAGGCATCAGTCAGTTGGTGTTGAGTAACAGCACTGATTGCATCACATGTTTTGCTTATTATTTTATCTTCATTATAATTATTATGATTCCCTTTTCTATCCTATTAAACTTTCTTTATGTCAATCCAAATGTTAACTTCTTTTTCTAATTCTCTCCTCCAACTCACTGAGAATGAGTGAATAAACAACAGTGTGGTGCTGAGCCACAACACGACTCCCGAGGGACACCATTCGTTACTGATCTCCACCAGTTTGAGCATGACCACCCAAGCGATTCCTTATCCATTGAATGCTCCATCCATCACGTCCATGTCTCTTCAGTTTTTTGTGTGGGACAGTGTCAAATGCTTTGCACTAGTCCAGATAGATAATCCCAGGTAGATCTTGGCAGACTCGAGCTGGTTCTTTTCTAGTATTTGAATCACATCAACAGTTGCAAGTGGTTTGCAGGCTCTAGCACTACTACAATCCTATTTACCTCCATGTACGTACAGGACCAAGTACATCTTTCCTTCTTCCCCCAGTCACCACAGGGGGACTAACAGGCTAACAGGGAAGCTGTTTGTAGCCACACTTAAATGACTGTGAAGTTCGTGTCATGCTGACTGGCACTGGAACGGATAGGCCTCATGGACCCAAGTCACAGAGTTTCTGCAGGGCACTCAATGCACCCTTCACAATCACTAGTGTTTTTTCCAATATCCAATGTATCTCCACCTCCTTTGGCCTAGATAACAGTGAACTGACTACATAGTCATCCTGTTATACCGGTCCTGCCAGCAAACAATGCTTGGAAAATGTTTGTCTCTAAGTCTACAGAAGGTTATTGATACTGAGAAAAACGACAGTGCTTGATTCCCAGGAGAGCTACATGTTTAGAGACGTGTTACATGTCTGCAGTCAATTTAAAATGAATGTTTAAATTGTTGATGGTGTTCAAAAGGGATTACTGTGAAAACTCAGGAATAAAATAACTGAATTTGTAACAGTTGGACATTACCTCTTACAGAAATTGCACTTGAGCTCTAGAAACCAATGTCTTAACCTATAATTAAAAGCAACTTCTTTAGGGTCCAAGAGAGTGTGATCCCATAAGTCAAATATATATACTTACATCTATATATGCTTATAGCCAGAGCCATAACTGAGGAATGTTTGCATCCTTTGAGGAAAGGCCACTATAGCCTTTGTAAAGAGAAGTCTGGGCTTAATAACTTTTTGGAGTTATTGGAAGAGGAAGAACACACATGAAGTCAAGAGCAGATACAGTCTACCTGAATGTCCAGAGAGGAACAAAGGGCAGCAGGAAAATGTTTGGTCTTCACAACAAAGGGAGCTTACCAGCATAGTGCTGGACCTGTTCTGCACATTCATAGCTGGTTTGAAAAGGTTTAAGCAGTGAGGAATAAAAGTTTGCTGAAGACACAGTGTTAGTCAAGACAGTAGGGACTTTGGCAGACTGCAACAAGAGCTTTGCAACACTGAGCAATGAACTGACAGATGAACTAAGTTAAATAACTGTAAAGTGAGCTTCACAAAGAAAAAAACATCTTGCTTTATGCAATTATTATGAGATAAAACTACTGTAGTCACTCTGGAGTGCAGTACTGAATTACAAGCAGTTCTATGAAAATATCAACCCAGTGCAGATTAAAAAACATAATTCTAATAGGAGAACTAAATGTTGCAAGGTACTGGGAAAATAACTGGGAGTAAAAAACCAGCACTCATCACTCTGTCATCTGTGGAGTGGATATTGTATGTAGCTGAGGGACAGAGCAGAGGAAATAAACAGAATTATCACATGTTGAATTGTGTCTGAATTGGGGTGACTGAATTGGCCAGAAAGCCTCAGCCTGGGAAGTAGCTCAGAGGAGGAATGTGATACTGGCCTACAAAATTCCAACAGGCATGGACAAGGTGGCCAGAGACTCATTCACATGCTTTTCTTCTTTAAGAAGCAAGTGCCATCAAGGCACTGATTCAAAGCAAGTAGGATGAGTTTGATTTTCACTGCAAAACAACTCACTGATGTTTCTAACAGACCAGCCATATCGGACTTCAGCAGCTGGATTTTGTGAGTGTACTTGTCTCATTTTTTATTCTGAGGTCCATAGCACACCACTCTTATGGTGGTGAAATGTGATGAACTTCACCTGCCCTATCTTATGTGAATATGTTACGTTGTCCTTGTGCCCTGCTCAGCAGTTCTGCTGCCTGCTGGCACAGTTAACTGTCTCAGGGCATGGTGAGCAGGTGGTGGGCCCTGGGTCTGTGCCACCAAAGCCATTCCTATCTTCTCACATGGGGCTTCACTGCTTTCTGCTTAGGCATTAGACAGAGGCTTTGCAGTTCCTGTGCTTCAACTTGCTTTGCACATCCACAGCGTGAACTGGTGCTGACAGTGCTGACAGTGAAAGACAGGCTGCTTCTCTCCCTCGTGCTAAGCCAATCCCTCAGCAACTACACAAATGCTGTTAATATATAAATCAAACCTTTGCCTCACTCTCAACTCCAGGTTTAACTTCAACTGATTACTCTTCATTGATTCATTCCACCACAAGGTCATGCATGCCTGTGACAGCATGAGGGAATGGTGTGATCTGGCAGCCAGGGCAGGGCAAACACGGCATTACAGTCTATTAGCAGCAACATGTGCTTGAGACGTTTGTGTAACCATGACAGTGTGCACATAAATTACACTGATTTTGAGTTCCTTGACACTTGAAAAGGACTGTTTTTATAGCATCCAAGCCTTCTCTCAGCCATAGGTAAGGAGGGATTTGTTCCACCTTTTGGTGTTCGAATTGCAAGGTTAGTACTGTAACTGCTCAGAATTCATTTGCTATTACCTGAAGGTGACCACCTTCATACCAACTGGTCCTGCTTTAGTGTACAGTTAGCAGCCAGTTTCACCTTCCTGGGCTAACTGTGCTTGCCCCATCTCTGTCTGGCTGCATAGGAACTCAACTGTCAATTCAAATGTGCTTAATTCAGCTAAGTACTACATTTCAGTAGTGTTAGTTTTCTACTGAATCAGCCCTCTAACCTTTCCTACTCAGCTGCATAACACCAATGCCTGAGAAAGGAGGGGAAGAGAAACAGGATTCTGGCAAGACAATATAAGATGCTCCTCCAGGATATCAAGTCGCATACAGCACTCTAACTATAGGCATGTTTTATTCAAACTTGCAACCTCTTTTATTATCCTGTGTGCCACAGATAGCCTGGTCTACCTGCCCACTTAATGGGAGCAAAATTAACTCTTCATAAATTCAGGATAGGGACTTGCATTGCAGATATAGATGGGAAAATCTGTATTAAAAACAACACCACTGTTTTAATAAAATCTTACCACAATTTGTCATTGCTTTAAGAAGAAATAAAATAAGAAAAAAAAATAATTCTTACATAGGTTCGTTCCTCTTCTGTATCTGCAAATTAACTTGCTCTTCATCATACTTGGGTCAAGGCACACGAAGAAACACACAGGATTGTTTACCTAGAAGTTAAAGATCTTAAAAACTATTGGACGCTTGATTAAGTTCTCAGTAGCTGTTCTTTTCTTCTTCTCCTAACCCTGCAATAGTTTGATGCTGAGGGAGATGACCCCAACATGCATTACAAAATAGAATGAATCTCAGCCTCCCAAAACAAAAAACCCATTATATCAGTAAAACAGTGAATGCAAATAAAAAATGGAGATTAGTAATCTATATTAAAAAAGAAACATGACTGAAGATATCTGCTCAGTGAGAGCAAAGTTGATCATGAGCCTTGAACAGTGTTCATAGAATCACAGAATCATAGAATCATACAATCACAGAATCATAGAATGGTTTGGGTTGGAAGAGACATTCAAGATCACCTATTTCCAACCCCCTGCTACAGGCAGGGACACCTCCCTCTAGATCAGGTTGCTCAAAGCCCCATCCAGCCTGGCCTGAATGCTTCCATGGAGGGGGCATCCCCAACCTCACTAGGTAACCTATTCCAGTGTCTCACCATTCTCACAGCAAGAATTTCTTCTTGATATCTAATCTAAATCTACCCTCTTCCAGTTCAAATCAATTTCCCCCATCCTGTCACTACATGCCCTTATAAAAGTCCCTCCCCAGCTTTCTTGTAGGGCCTCTTCCTGAAGGTCTCTATAAGGTCTCCTCGGAGCCTTTTCTTCTACAGGCTGAAGAACCCCAGCTCTATCAGCCTGTCCTTGTAGGAGGGATGCTCCAGCCCTCTCATCATCTTTGTGGCCCTCTTCAGGATCCACTCCAACATCTCCATGTCCTTCTTGTGATGGGGGCCCAGAACTGGATGCAGTACTCCAGGTAAGGTCTCATGAGTGCAGAGTATAGAGGGGCCCCCATCCCCTTGACCTGCTGGTCATGCTTCTCTTGATGAGAACCCAGGATAAATATACCCAAGATAGGCCTTCTGGGCTGCAAGTGCACACTGCTGGCTCATGTTGAATCTTTCCTCAACTGACACTCCTAAATCTTTCTCAGCACGGTTGCTCTCAAGCCATTCTCTGCCCAACCTGTGTCTGTGTTCGGGACTGTCCCAATCCAGGTGCAGGACCTTGCACTCGGCCTTGCTGAACTTCATGAGGTTGCCATGGGCCCACCTCTCAAGGCTGTCCAGGTCCCTCTGGATGTCATCCCTTCCCTCTAGGCGCATCAGCTTCACCACTCATCTTGGTGTCATCTACTGAGTTGCTGAGAGTGCACTTGATCTCACTGTCTGTGCTACCTCCAAGGCTGTAGCATTGGTCTCAACACCGATCCCTGAGGAAAGCCACTTGTCACTTGTCTCCACTTCAACACTGAGCTGTTGATCACAACTCTCTGAGTACGACCATCCAGCCAATTCCTTATCTAGTGAGTGGTCCATCCATCAAATCCATTTTTCTCCCAGTTTGGTGACCAGGATGTCGTTCTCCAAACTGTATCACATACAGTGAAATCTCTTTTAAAAATAAATCATTCTGCTAATTAAAACTTTTCCTCAGAAAGTTTTCAGTCACACCACAATAACATCTAACTCACAGACCTCTGCTGTTGCTTCAGGTAAAAGGTGAGATTCTTCGTTGCTTCCTGCTTTGAAAATCAATGATTGAAGCAGGCCACAGGGAACAAGTACTAAAGCATATCAACACTCTTTCTTATGAGCTGCAGTGCTCTGATGTGACTACTTCATTTTCCCCAGCTCTGATCCTATCAATGACAGGAAAAGAACAAAAAGTGAGGGTACATGCAATATTTGGTGCACTTCTAAGTACACCATACACAATATAATGGCAAGAATTAAACTGTACATATTGTCAGGAATAAGCAATGGAAAGCACTAAATGGGGTTAGCGATTTTCAAAGCACTGTCCACCAAGGAAAAATTTTCAGCAGCCTAGTGTGAAACAAGACAATTGATGTTTCAGAATGCACTGAAAAGACACACTTTTAACTTCTGGAATGTTACAGAAAAGTTAGTTAAATAGCTAAAGAACTGTTTTAGATATTTCTGATGCAGTATAGAATGTTACACAAGACTGTACAGCACATATATCCATAAATTGTAGTTTCTGTGTTTTCCCTAACTTCAGGCATGCAAGTGTCCCCCTGGATTTAACGGATATATTAAACACATTATTCATCAATAATATAACTCTCACCCGTGGCTTATGAGTGGTATTGTTGTGGCACTATGTGGATGCTCATACAATTCATCACCTTTACAACATTGTGGTTTAACCTTGAAGGCACCACACAGCCACTTGCTCACTCTCCCCAAGTGGGATGAAGGAGACAATCAGGGAGGTAAGAGTGTGAGAATTTGTGCATTAAGACTATTTGCTAGGTAAAGCAAAAGCCACAGTCACAAATAAAGCAAAGCGAGGAACTTCATTATCTCCCTTTGGCAGACAGCTGTTCAGCTGCTTCCAGGAAAGCACAGCTCATCATATGTAAAAGTTTATTGGGAAGACAAACACTGTCATTCCAAGCATCCCCCTCATTCCTCCTCCTTCTTTATCAGCTTTTATTTCTGGGTATGATGTTGTACGGTACAGAACTTCCCATTGGTCAGTCTGGCTCAGCTGCCCTTGCTGACCCTTCCCAACTCTTTGTGCACCCCTCAATCCCCTCACTGACAGGGCATCATGAGATGCTGAACAGTCCTTGTCTCGGTATAAGCACTGTTCTGCAACAACTGAAACATCAAGTCATTATCACCAAAAATCCTGAACAGCATCATGTGAGCCTCTACAGAGAGAATTTACTCTACTCAGCCAAACCCACACTGTTATCCACTCCTTCTCCCAAACCCACACTGATATCCACTCCTTTTCCCATATCAGTAACATCGTGTTCAGGTTCTACACTTTTCTACACATCTTTGTTAATCATCACCCTTCAATTAATACACATGTATGGTTCCCCCAGCCTATGATCCACACCTGTGAATCATCCATTAAAAGTCCATAAAATGTCTACTGTGTTCTTTTAGCCCATGATTTCACTTCTGTCTCTTATGGTGATTGTTCAGGACAGGAGAGGCAGTATGATACGTGGATGCCAAAGCCAGCTCAGGTCAGGTCTCGTATTACCTTCTATGAGGCTTCTGTTGGTTTGAGTGGACTACAGGATTTCCTTTAATAACTCAAATCATGGGTTACAACAGTTTAAAGGTGTAGTCACTATAATCTCCACCCCACATCCCTTTGGACCAGGCTGAAGAATTTAGCATTGCAACGAACTCCCTCCCTGTTGCAGTCTGGGCTGGTCCATCTGCTGTGGTTTAACCCAGCAGGCAGCTCAGCACCACACAGCACATCACTTACTCCCCCTCTTACCAGTGCAATGGGGAGAAAAATTGGGGGAAAAAAAAAGGTAGAATTTTGAAGCAGAAAATGAAGAGAGAAATAGTAGAGCAATGACATATAACAATAAAGATAACAGTATATATTTACAAAACAAACAATGCTCAGTGTAATTGATCACCACCCATCGATCAATGCCCAGCCAGTCCCCAGCAGTCTGCTCCCCTGCCTCTCAGTTTTATATTGTTTTCACATGCTTTCATATGGTACAGAATATCCCTTTGGCCAAGGTAGGCCAGCTGCCTTGGTTCTGCCCCCTCCCAGCTCCTTGTGCTCCCCAGCCCCTTGCTAGCAGGACAGCATGAAGAACTGAAAAATGAAATGTCCTGGGCTCTGTGCAGCATTCTTCAGCAATAACTGAAACATCAGTGTGTTATCAGCATTTTTTCTTTTAAAGTCAAGACAGAGCATCATACCAGGCATTATGAAGAAAATCAACACTGTCCTAGCAGAAACCAGAATACCATCCTCAACATCCCTGAGAGGTGTACCTGCTTCAGCATGGCCTCATCCTTGAATCACAGTCTACTGCCCATGTTGTGTACCTATCCTGTCTACTGCGTAGACAGTCACAGATGCTTTGAGGTCTACCTGTTCTAGTGTACACAACAATTATTAACAGGCCACAGCTTTCTCAGAAGTATACTTTCTGTGGCATGGACTTATCCACATTCAGAGTTGTTTTGAGGTATAAGCACAAAAAAAAAAAAAAAAAAAAAAAAAAAAAAAGGCTGCTCTGGTACAGCTTTTTTCATCCATAATAGATCCTCCAGAGGTCCTTTCAGACACTGATGTGTCACAGTCTTATCCATGACCGCAGAAATTTCAAGGTATACTCGCATGGCTTAATCCATAGACTTGGATGCTGCAAGGTGTACATGCTGTGACACAGACTTTACCATGGCCACAAACGCTCTGATGAATACTTGCTCCAGAGTAGACTTACCTGTGGCCACAGATGCCTCAAGGTGTATGTGCTCCCATGTGGGCTCATCCACAGGTCAGTTGTTCAGTGATGACTTCAGTTTGGTCTGGAGTCTCAAGCTGTATCATCAATACTGTGTCATCAGCACAGAGACAGCACTGACACCACGGCTATCTGCCAGCCCAGGGACATGGCTGTTATCAAAACACCTCCAGGCATAGCAAAGCAAGGTGATAGGGAGTAGAGCAAACAGCAACAAAAAAAAAGTATCCACTAATAAGCCCTGGACTCTAACATATAGTAAGGCAAGCCAGGCCAGTAACAACCATAGGAGTCTACCGATTAGCAGTACAACAGCTTTAATATCTTTAAATTTGGTGTAGCACAATCCACAGTCTAATTGTATTTGTCAACATCTCTAACCCTTTGTGTCCCATGTTGGGCAGCAAAAGGACTACTGTAGATTAACCTTGAAGGCATCTCAGCACCACAAAGCCGTTCACTCACTCTCCCCCAGTGGATGGGGAAAACAATCAGGAAAGTAAAAGCTTGCAAACTTGTGAGCTGTGACAGTTTACTAGGTAAAGCAAAAGTTGCACAGACAAGCAAAGCAAAACAAGGAACTCTTTTGCTACTTCCTATTGGCAGACAGCTATTCAGCCACTTCCAGGAGAGCACAGCTCATCATATATGAAGGTTTGCTGTGAAGACAAACACTATTTCCTCCTTTACCCCAGCTATTATTGCTGAACATGGCACCCCAAGCTACAGAATATCCCTTTGGTCAGCCTGGGTCAGCTGTCCTGGCTGTATCCTCTTCAACAGGGCAGCATGAGAAAGAGAAAAATCTTTGGCTCTGTGTGAGCACTGCTTTGCAATAGCTGAGGACATCAGCGTACCAACACCGAAAATTGCAAACACACCATCATACGAGCCTCTAGAAAAAAAATTTACTGTATCCTAGCCAAAATCATGACAAATACAGCCTTTAACCCTTGGACTCCTTGCAGAACCCAGGTAGTGCTCAGGGCACCACTCCAATCACATGAACTGCATGCCATTCGAGTTACTCATTACCGCATATGAAGCAGGAAGCACATTAGGCCATTCAGAAAGAAAAAAAAAATAGACCTTCTCATACTCTGTTTATTGCGCACAGAATAAGGAAAGAATTTAGATGTTAAATCTTTGCAGTAAGGTATGGCCTTTTTTGAACAGTTATTTTCCATTACGGACGCTACATTACATCTTCAGTTCAATAATAAACAAGCAATTGTTTCCCTACTTGCTCTTCATGTTTCCTGACAGAAACACAACTTTCACACCTAAAAAGCACTTGTGTTCTGTGTGACCTAAAAAGCTGTACACTCTGCTCTTCAGACATCCATTAAAATGACTTGCTGTTTTAGTTAGGACCCACTGGGATACCATAACATTTCACTATTGTATTAAGTATCTGTTTAGAATTGATAGACAAGATTGCAGCAAACAAAAGGAGGGCTAGAGCTTTTTTAGCCCTCAAAAGGTGTGGTCAAACACATTAAACAAACTTCTTAGATTTTACTATGTGTGAAAGAAAACTACTGAATCTGCAGATGCTTAGAAAAAATGTTTGTTGACTTTATTAACAATTCCAAGTTTATCACAAAAGAGTGAAAGTTCTAACGAACACATATTCATATATTCATCACATACAGGGTGATGAACGAGCTCATCAGAAAAGCAGGGGGAGAATGTGGAAATGAAAGAATAAAACAAGGGACTGAACTGACTAGAATAAAAGCAAGCAATCACAAGAGAACAAAAAAAAGCACATAACACAGTATTTATTACAGGAATACTTGCAGCCTTTAAACTGTACATAACTGCTCTGATTCTAGCTGCAGTTGAAGATCCCCAAAAGGCTGGCTATTTCCCATCTATGTATCAGTTGTTCCAGAGTGTTGTTTGGACTGACAGCTTCTCTATTTGCTTACGTTTGCAGGGATGCAGCTCCACCTAAGTCTCAGGTCACTCAAACACTAGTGCAATGTACAGCTTGGTGAGACTTAGGAGGACTGGAAGATTTGAAAAAATCTGGAAGATCTGAGAAACCACCTGTATAACAGCAGCTTTTCAGATTGTTGAGTAAATGCATTTCCATATTCCTGAGTGGTCACAAATATTACAGATGGGGGAGAAGGGTTTAAGGTATTTTAGAAATCCAGTAATGTTTAAGTTCTGTATCTTTATTAATCAGTTTTATATCTCATAATTTTCCCTGAGTTCTGAACCATTTGGTTTAGTTATCTGAAGGAGACAGAGGTATGTTCTAATGAAATGCATCAACAGGTAATCCTACTTGACAAATTCATATGTTATAGCTGTAGCTGTCAGGCTTCCAATTCACTACGGAACAATCTCTCTGAAACCAGGCAAGTTGAACTGCTGAGCCATTTGAAAAATATATAAAAGCATTAAAGAAAGCAGGCAATTCAAATTTGTTACACATAAAAAAGTCTTATTTAGATACCTTAAAAAATACAAGGCGTTATATAAAAAAAATAAAATCAAAGCTACTTATCAAAATTTTGTTAAATAGACTCATTTAAGATCTGGTTCTGGCAAGCACTAGGTAACAGTATATAATCTCAACTAACATTTTATTTATCCAGTGCTAGCTGATAACAGGTTCAGCTTGCCAACTTAACACGATAATCTCACCAGGCTTCTACAATGTTAGTATTTAAAACATTTGGAAAACAATGTAAGATTATATTATACAGCAAATAATAAGCACTCATGTTGCTGGACCCACAACAACATAGTGAAGTAGATTCTCCTTTCATTGTGTTTAAACAATATTCAGTGTAAGCATGTACAGAGAGCAATGCTGGATGTAAATAATGTGTTTCACTGTTCATTACAGTTAAAGCCAAACAAAACAGATTTATCTGTTAATTAAATATACTAGTGACTTTACATAACATCCCAGTGACATTCTGCTTTTAGACAACTTCAATATTGAACAAAAATGTCCTCAACCCCAGCACACTGAGGCCAGCAGCACTTTTGCAAAGCATCAGAAATGCCATGATATTTTTCCAGTCTGGTTAGAAGACTTATCAGTTTGCTAATTCTGTACAAGATCACCTGTCAGTTCTGACATCTAGGCTTCAAATGTGAATAAAAAAGCAAAGTAATTATTTCTTCAAACTGTTATACAAAATAACTTTCTTGTCACTGCCTTCCTTAGAATAGTAAAAAGTCCACTTTTTTCTAGGACTGAAGTCAGTAGGTTGATTTAGTGGTTCCATTTGAGTTTGAAGAGTAAGAATTAGATTTCTTGGGGTATCTGCCTGATGAGAGAGAGACTTGCATCCTCCGTGTAGTTCGCACGCTTCGGCAAATAAGAGCATTTTTAAGATTGTCTCTGAAGTCTTTTGAAATATAGTAGTAAATGAATGGATCAATACAACTGTTCAGTGTGGACAGACACAGTGCAGTTATGTATGACATGTACAGAGAGCTCTCATTATTGTTTCTGAGTTGCAGATAGTGCACAACAAGTAGCACATTGCTTGGTGTAAAACATATGAGATACATGGACAGGACAGCAATAATGAGCTTGATTGCTCTTTTTCGTTTCTTCCCAGTGCTTATATCTGAGATTGAAGCATTCAGAGTCTTAATCATTAGTATGTAAGCAACAGCAGTGATGAGAGCTGGAATTAGGAAGAGTCCAATTGCAAGTGAGAGGAAGTAATTGAACATGTCATGAGCTAAAATATTGTTAGGTAACACATCATGGCAGGTTGTGATGTTAAGGTCTGAAATATACGCTGTCTGCTTAACAAGATACAGTGGAATGGTTCCCAGCAAAATCAGTATCCAGATAGCAAGGGAGATGCCCAGGGCAATTTCAAACTTCTTTCTTGAATGTACTATGGGGTTCACTACAACCCAATACCTTTGCACACTGAGACATGTCATAAAAAGAATGGAGCAGTACATATTTCCATAAAAAAATCCAACAAGCACTTTGCAGAGACCTTCCCCAAATAGCCAGTTATTGCCATTTACATGGTATGCAATCTTCAGTGGGAACCAGACAACGAAGAGAAGGTCTGCCAATGCCAAGTTAAGCATATAAATCACAGCTGGATGTTTCTTCTTTGTTCTGAAAAAAAAGACCCAGATGGCCATAGCATTGCTTGGCAAACCAATGATAAAGACAATGACATAGACAATGGGAAGAAAAACTGTAGTCAGTTTTCCTGTAAGGACTTTTGCTGCAAAGTCATCCACTTTGTATGTCTCCTCAGAGGCATTATCAGTATTTGGAACCCTCTGGCCAGCAAAACTTCTTCCTTTTGAACTGCTGTTTCCACTTCTCTCTAGAAAAAGAAATAAAAATTGAGAAATTGCTGTTATTTATTTTTCTTGACTTTTCTTAATATTTTTTGAAATCTTTAAGATAAACTAGGTAGCATGATTTACACTGTGCAATTAAAGAGGGCCTTATCAATAAAAAAAATTAAACATTTTCAAATACTTGACAATTTTTCTTCCCTTTTTTTAGTTTATTATCCAAACAATACCTATATCCTTATTCAAGGATTGTATCATCTACCCACATCATCAGGTGCTTCTACTAGCTCAGCAGTTGAAATAAAAACTGCTTTAAGTATTCCACAGCACTATTATCCTTTTTCATGGTGCTGCCAGATTGCTCAAGTGCTGAGATGCATAAAACTCTGTAGCAGGCATCCAACATATATGCAGTACAAGTTTCTTAGATGAGATGGCCTCAAAATCAGCTAGGCAGAAAATAGAGCATGGAATCATAGAAAGGCTTGGGTTGGAAGTGACCTCAAAGATCGTATAGTTCCAAGCCCCAGTGCTGTGAGCAGTAACCAATGAGGCACTAGACCAAACTGCCCAGGGCCCATCCAACCTCACCTTTATTGCCTCCAGGAAAGGGGCGCACTGTCCTCAGACTAGCTGGAACTGAAACAACTGGAATGCAATGCAGGAAGCTATGTGTGCAGGAACCAGGGAATTGATGGTTGAATCACCATCCCTGGATGCGTTTAAAAACTGTTTGGGTGTGGTACTCAGGGACATGATTTAGCGGAGGGTTGTTAGAGTTAGGGCAGGATGGTTAGGTCACGGTTAGACTCGATGATCTTTATCGTCTTTTCCAACCTGAGCAGTTCTGTGATTCTATGACTCTATGTGTAAAAGACTTCTGAAGAAAGAT